CCAAATATCAATCTTGCAAACATGTTATTCCAAATACTGTAAAACTAGAAAGATTGCATCTCATATCACATGTCATAAATCAACACCCTGTGGTCAATGAAATTGAGTCAATGTAAAATCTATGCCAGTTTAGGTCCCAAATGTGACTTGGAAAGAATAAAATTAGTAGACCCAATTCTGCACAGAATTTAAAAGATTTTATTGCAGATTGGCAGAGTTTAAGTGAGAGTAATTATGTCTAAGATCACATAGTTATATGTTTGTCATGATCACCCTGGAGTTCAATAATACACTGCATTTTCTTCAATTAGTGTTTATCCCGAACCCATAAAGTACAGTATAAGTGTTAATTATGTCTGTCATTAGGTACATGTTTTGTACTGTATTTATAGCCTGTATGCAAGGATTTACATGGGGATACAGTGTTATAACAAAATTTAGACAACCAAGCTTTTCCTTTTATAAAAACTTCTGTTCTGCACCTACAGAGCTCATGTCTAAATGGAGTCTGGAACATGGCTGCGCCAAAGTCTGGAAATTACACTTCTCACCTAAGAACAAGAAACCATCACTGTCTGAAGCATCCTGGCAAAGTTCAAAGCTTTTAATTTCTCTTTTCATTATTTGATTTGGGGGGAGGCGGGGGGGGGGTGGAAAGGGAGGGGGATTAATAAGATTAAGGGGGAACAATGGATCTTGGGGCTTATCTTTTGGGGGGAAATAGTTTGCTTGTGTTTTCATATTCTTGCATTCTTTGAGGTTTTTATTGCTCTTTTTACCTGATGCACTCTGATAAATTCAATGGAACCTGTGGTGAGGCACAAATCCAGAACTGGCTTTTTGAATGTGGCCTTTTTTCCACTTTGGTCATTTTGGGTTTGAGGGGCAATAACATATTATTTTTCTAAAAAAAATGTTGATTTAAATTAAAAGAGCACATCAAATAGAATCCTTAAAATAGAATTTCTTGGTTTCCTCAGTCTTGTAACAGGTTATGTCATTATGTAACTATTTACAAGTACTATATAACAATAAGGATATATCTATCTCACACTTTTATGAATAAATAGAGATGTTTCTGGTGCCTTCTTCAGCTTGCATTCTTGCAAATGAAATACTATCAGTTTTTAGCCAATGAAAAGGAATCAATAGGAAGGTAATTCTAATTTTGTTAATAATTTATGTTAACCATATGTCAGTCTCAAAAATCAATGCTTTTGCAAATAGTTGGAGAAAATAAGCTCTTCTAAGTTTTCCAAAACCTTTTAAAGTAATATTCTAGATACTCCATGTTCCTGATTTATTCTGATTGAGTTAATATCTGAGAACTTAAATAACTTGCTGGAACAAAGGCAGGGAAAGCCTTCCTTCTTATTAATATGCAGCAGTCCACTGTACAATTTTCCAGTAAACTTATAAAACCAGAAAAATTTCATCCCCTGTCACTGCCATGACAATCTTTGCTGTGAAGTTCAGTTCTGTGATATTTAACAACCCTGTTTCTAAAGCAACAGGCAGTTTTCTGGGAGAGATTTTAGTAGCCATAGGGCTACTCTGAAACTTGAGAAACATGAATAATTGTTAAGAGTTTGTCTACCTCAAAAAAAAAACAAAAAACCCAAAACTTGTTTGAGAAGGCATTATATTCACACTTGCATTTTCAAAAAATGAAATTTCAGCAATACAGCAGACTTGCATTTTTTCTAAAGAGATAAAGAATATTTTTTCCTTGGCAGCTGACACAACCAATTGTAGGTGGAAGAAGGATGAAGGTAGACAGCACAAATACTAGGAACAACATGAAGCTTCTGCTAGGATGCATTGCAAGTATTAATCAGATACTAGCTACCAAAGGTCAAAGTTTTTGGCAGGTTCTGGAGAAGCAACTAATTCTTTTGTCTTTAGAGACAATAAAAAGAATATTCTTCCATGGGGAAATATTTACATTACTTAAAATGCTTATAAATTAGTGATAAAAGAATTTGGTAATCAATGCAAAACTCAGACTTACCATTCTCCAACTGGATATCCTTTATGCCAGCAGGTGAAATGTATTTTTGTCATAAAGATCCTGTGAGGTGATGATGTAGTAGCCTGGAGAAGCTGCCAGAATAAAAGTGGGGGAAAGGAAACAAAGAAAGAAAAAGGGAAAACTTTCAAGGTCTTCCAATCATAAATACTGAACCTGTGTACCACAACATTGTTACAGTAATATCTTAATTTTTACCTTCTGTCTGCCTTTCTAGTACACTTCTTCAAGTGTATCATAATATAAAGCCCAAGATTTGAATATTCATACAAGACACATCCAGCATTTAAAACTAAAACTTAAGCTGGTCATAATGAGAACATCTTATTTGAGTTGTGATTATGACAACACAAGTGCAGAACTACAACTGTTACTAGGCAAACTATTCACTGGGAACAAATTATTAGAATCATTGAATATGCTGAGTTGGAAGGATCATCCACGTCCAACTCCTGAACCTACACAGGACACCCCAAGAGTGCCTGAGAGTTTTGTCCAAACACTGCTTGAACTCTGTCAGGCTGGTGCTGTGACCTCTTCCCTGGGGAGCCTATTCCAGTGCCCAACCATCCTCTGGGTGAGAACCTAATTTAGCTTTTTTTGAGTCAAAATTTTTGTGCCAAGTCATTAACTAATATATTTGTTATTCAGCATTGTTAACAAAATATAGGGCCATAGTTTTCAGAGTATACATTTGGGTTTTTCCTTAGAATACTTCTCACAGCTTCTGTGATGTCTGTGGTGTCATGTAAGTGACAGAGTACTGTTTCTGCTGCCTCACTGGGTGACAGAGTCAGAGGGACAAGCATTACATACCGTACGTAAGCACAAATAACACTGTGCACATGCCACTGCAGATAACTGAGGAAAAAAATAGATGTTCCCCACATCCTCCTCAGAGAAATCTGCAGCAAGGCTACTTTTTTCCCACCATTATTTCACAGGCCAGCATAAACAGAGGCTCCCACTTTTCACACACAGTTAATTATTAATTTCTTTAATATAGGATAATTACACAAGTTACATAATTTGTTTTTCTTTATAATTATTGTGAGTTTATTCCAGCCTTCCTTTAAGTTATTCTAATGTCCTCTACATGAGCTATTCTGCTTGGAAAGGCATGCATGAGCTATAATTTCCTTCTGACATTAAAAGCCACAAATCTAAACATCATTGCACTATTGCAGAGGAAAAAATGTTTGGCTCTTGACTCAAGATTAGTCTCTGTAGCCATTAAGAAGTGAAAACTCCATGGAGGGAACAGAACCAAAACCACTGAGATTACATTCCAGTCACAACAAGCACTTAACTGCTGTAGATAAGGTATCTGGGAAATGATATATAGTAAATAACCGACATTCACTTGTCTGTTTCGCTAATATGAAAGAAAATAGTCATTAACACAATTGTAAAGCAGAAACAAATAGATTAATTTATTGAAAAGCAATAGTTATTATAAAGGAGTAGCAGAATTCCTAAATTGGAGTCTTGTATCACACTACAGGAATAAATTAAGACATTAACAGTACTTACAGTATTCTTGCTAGAGCATAAAACTTATATTTGCTATGGTTCAGTTACTTCTATAATTAAAAAGAAAACTGTTTTCTGAAGCTCTGTGAGGAAACTATCTTACATAACTATTTAGTTTAGGTACCTAGTATCTTATCCCACAGCCTTAATGAAATTCCTCATCTCTATAAGCTGGAAACACCATCTGTTTGTGACTGTTCACTGAACAAAATAAGGACATATGCTGAAATGTACCTAAATCAAAATTTATAGAGTATAATGTGCTGAATTCTGAAGAGGAAGGATTTGGGGGTTTGCGTTATTATTTTAAAGACAGTTTGCTCTGCTGAACTGGACCTAAAATCTGTGAGAGCTATTTTCTAGTCAGCTTCTGTGGCAAGCAAAGAACTGATACAAATGGAAACTGTCTAGTGCTCCCCTCATTTTCAGTCATAAATTTTTCATCGTGGTTGAATATCTGTTTCATAATCTTTTGTATAGTTGATTTTTAAATTAGTTTTCCTGTTTTGTGTACAAAATAATTTAATCTTGCTTAAAACCCAATGACTCTTGTTGGGTCCAACAATACACAAATTATTAACTGTTTAAAAAATATTTTCTACCTCTTGATTGGATCTTTTTGTACCGTCACAAAAATCTTTGACGTGACTACTTGACATTTGGTAGAACTGCTCACGTAATTTTCAGGAATACTAGCTTCTTCTAGACCTTACTCTTCCTGTTCAGTTCTCCCTCCCAGTTCTTGGATTCTGCTGTACTTCTCGTAGCTCAGACTGATTCCATAGGCAAAGTTCCATTACATTTCCCAGAACATGGCTTTTTAAAAGAACAACTCTTGTCAGTTGCATGGGTTTCTCACCAAGCGACCAGTGAAAACAACTGAATTGTTTCCTTTTTGCATCATCTCAAATTCTTAACTAAGGTGCTTCTGCTTTCCTGACAGCAGAGACTAATTTTGTAGTCACTGAAACAGAAAGACAATATTAGGTAACATATCAGGTATTTCCCATCTTTATTACTGATTTTCTCTCTTTGACCTTAATAGTATATCATACTAATCAGTATTATAATATCAATCATAGTACTGTAGTATCTTTCTTTTCACTTATTTTAGTGCACAGTTTTTTTCAATAAACACTGTGCAGCCCGTTAAGTCTGTTAATATGACACTGCATTGTGTGCCTTATGATAGAGCAAAATAATCACCTAAAACCTGAATCCATGAACTAACAATTGAAAAGTGGTGTTAGTGAGTCACTCTGAGCAGTATGATTTTACTTCATTAAAAGCAAGAAAATCACTCTTACTCCACTTAGGTGATCCACCTAAAATCATCTTCTCTTTGAGGTTACTGAGGTCATTTCAATAGCTTTGGAGATTGTATAACTGCAGTTCAGTTGGGCTAACCTCCTGGTAATCACAGTGAGAAAAGGGCAGCTCAGGGCAGGATGATTCGGTCTGAGTACAGTGAGTGTTCTCACACCATGGCATGACTGAAGCATCATCCAGTTCCAACATTTCGAACAGGCCAGCATATTCCTCAGCAAGGAAGGGAAACTGCACTGCAGTGTCACCCACCTAGAAATTAGAGAAATCCATAAACGTACAGATATTTATAAACCATACATAAGTAAATTGCCACACGTCATTTCAAGGCAAGCATGGATGGTTTCAGTTCAAAAACGCAGCTTTACATTAAAGCAGAACCCCCAGGCTTTTCTGCATATCATAAATAGGGATTTTAATTGTCCAATTAACATTTTCTTTTTTAGCAATACATCATGATTTCCAGCATTAACAGCAGCACTGCAGCTCAGGTCTCTCTGACAACTCTGCCTAATCTGCTTATTAAATGTTTTTTAAAGGCTTGGTTCCATGCCTGCCTCTTAGCATATATAGTCACCAGCAAAAAAGTGGGTGTAAAACTCTCCCACAACAGACTGATAACATTTTGCACACACATTATCCAGATGTATATCACTACAAAGCAGCAGAGCATGAGGATTTTATGCTTTGGAACAATATTGGTAGATTTTGAGCTAACTGTTACAGGAAACTATTAGGAGCTCATAAACAATTAACAATGAGACACTCATGTTTCTGCTGATTTAGCAGAAGGCAACAATCTGCTGGTGATTCACTGCTTGTCTCCTAACAGAAACACATAATTTGCTCATCCATTTCAGTCCCTGCCTAGTGATCCTAAAGGATAATGTTAACATTTTTCACCTGTCTTAGCACACAGAATAGGTATAATTAGACTATACATATACACACAGATAAGAATGTAGGCGTATACCCATCAGCATTAAGTGAGGATGGAGATCTCAGTACAAATAAAGCAGCACCAACGGCAACATGCATTCTGAATTAGACTTTAAGAATGACAGAACTAAGACTGCTTTTCTCCTGTTGCAGAAATGTGCTTTTATTACTGGTCAAGAAGACAGGCTTCCTTTTAGGCCATGGAGCAGACCTTTCCTACTGACAGCTGAACTTATTTTAATTAAATTCCAAGCAAGACCATAAGGGAGGAAACTTTTTTAATAATTTTTGCACAAATCAAGTAATACTAGCTTTAGGATCAATATTTTCTGCAGTTACACTGCTACTGCATACAGTCTTTGACATAAATAGGGCAGGAGATCTTTCTCCTTTTTAATGCCTTTATTAAAGAGATTCAGCTCAGGTGGGGAGAAATCGATGGGTCACGCCCACGCCGCCGCTGTCCCCAAGAGTGGCACGGAGGAGGAGGGTGATGCAGCTCTGTCCGCTGGTCTGCAGGCAGAGCTGGGGACTGCGTCCTCACGGGAGATTCGCAGATTCCTACTTTTCAGTCCAACGCTCCGGGTCCCCTCCTAGTGAACATCCTTAGGTCAGGGTGAGGGGCAAAAAGGATCCAAGCAGGCACTGGACTTCACGCCCATCCTTAGACATCACCTAGGGTCCCCTAATTCTATATTGGTCAGTTGTTTTTAGGGGTTTTCCTAGAAAACGGGAAAATTTTGGAGCAGTGCATTTCTCATCTGCATACGTGGTCTCAGGCCACTCCTATTCTCCTGGGCTGCCGTGTCCAGGTGTAGCTCCGGGGCAAGCACCAGGGAGGACAATGGCTAAATCACCAACCATTGACGGGCAATTAAAGAACTCTTTAACAATTAAGCTAATTTAACAGCAACTGGTCCCACCGGTTTTAGCTCTGTAACCTTAAACAAAAATAGGTAACTTTTTATTCATAACAGTCTTCACCCCAGCTTGTATGATCAGTAGTTGGTTGTTGGGTTCTTCAGCTATATTTTGATGTCAGCTACAGGGGAAAAAAAACCTATGATTTTTGCATGCAGTAGTCCCTGCACTTTGGATCTGCTCTCTGCATTCATAAATATAATTTTTCACAGACAAGATAAAACATTCAAATTAAACATTAATCCTGTCCAAGGACAAAGGAGGGCATTTAGTGAGTCTTGACATAAAGTTCTGTCATTCAAATAGTCACCTTGGTAGTTCCTCTCCCATTAAGTGTGATTTCCCCATTGTCCTTTCAATGTTATTTTTGCAAGATATCATGGTTCTGTTTCACTTGCAGGTTCCCACAGTCCCTGAAGTTCATTATCCTTCACTACTGGTCAAAGAAAGAAACAACCTAGGAACGAATTAAATACTGGATTTCAAGGAGGTAGCTATTTGTAGTGATATTTCCATTCATTTGTTTTCCTTTGTGGTGCTTTCAAAACTACCCCTTCTGAGCTCTGCCCATTCAAAGTGCAAGTGCAGCTGAAAAGTACTATTTAGTCCACCTGAACTGGCACAGAAAACTAGCTGCATCAACAGAGCTGAGTTTATTTCTTTCATTGCATATGGCAACATGCACATCTTTCATTTTTGCCAAACTAAAAGCAAAATCCCTCAAATTTATGTAGTATACTTATACCCTATGCTCTAAATAGTGGAGAGCAAAGCCTTAGGTTGTACTTTCTGTGTGCTGAATTTTAAAAAAAGAATATTAGAGGAGATTCCTGCATATGGAAGATATCTTGGTCTCTGATTAGGGCTGGGCAAAAATTACTCTGAGCACATTAAGATTATATAACGTTTTTTAGTATTGAATAAAATTGCTCTTGCTAGTCAGAGGTACAAAGTAAGCTTTGTGAAGAATCCAGGACAGGACACTAACCAGCCAGATGTCCAAGTGGTTTGGCCATTCCCCAAACTCCCCATGTGTTTTTTTCTGTCAAATGATCAGGAAAGTATATTAAGTTTGATAGAAAAGGGGACAAAGATAGAGAAAAGGACAAAAGTATTTATTTAAATATGACAGTCTATAACATCTGGATTGGGAGTTTCAAACTATCCACTTGGTTTCACAGTGAAAATTAAAATGCTTTGACTCTTCTTAACTAGGAAAAAAAACCCTCACAACAAAACACATTAAGCAGAATAGTAAAGGATTTTCTTTTGCCTTTCCCTACAGTCTTTAGGCTTTTATAAGGGAAAATTTTACTTTGTGTGAAAGAGCGCACCAAAGTTACAATTAGTTGAAATCAGGACTACTAAATCAGTATTACTTCCTTGTAGCAAACCAGATCCACACAGCAAAGGGGAGCAAAGCATGGGAATTAGAAAGGAAAAATAATTTCTGTTTCAACTCACTTGCCCTTGGAAAAAGACAGACCCAGCACAGGGTCTTATCAGCCACTCCAAAACCTGGCAAACTCTGAGCAGTATCTGACAACTTCAATTCTGCTTTTAGCTGCCCTTTTAGTCATGGGTTCATAGCAGGGAAACAAGACATGCCACAGCCTTAATCAGCTAAGTCACACACCCTAGGAAAACACCCACACACAAAGGTCAGAAAAAGACCTCTAAGAGGAGAGTAAAAAAGAAAATGAGATGGGAGGTGATGGTGAAACCCAACTGTTGTGTATTACATAGATTCCATTTGGTGCCATGGATTTGGCTTAACTCGGGGGAATGACAACACCCTGCAGTCTCTTCTCAGTGGAGGTGGCCAGAAGATCTGTCAGGATTAGATGACAACTGTCCATCTGCCCCATCTGTCCCTTCCCTTCATTTCAATATCTGTAGGCCCAAAGAACCAATGCCAGGGGAAGATGGTGGATTTACTTACAATGTTTAATTATCTTAGAAAGATCAGTTACTGATGTATTTTGGTTTGTTTTTACACAATGGAGAATTTTACATATTCTGCTCCCTATTATTAAAAAGAAGAAAAAAGACTTAATCAGACATGGCAAAAGGAAGCAGATCATTGGAATTGTGCTAAAGGAAACACAAGCTGAGACAACTATGTCACTTCCTTAAACCCTGCAACACTCAGTAATTGCATTTTTCAAAGTACAAAAGCCTATTTTTCTCAGTTTTCTTAGATTATCAGGTTTGCCCTTGAGCACACAAAAGTCACTGGTTTAAAGTCCAATTGGATTTGCCTTTGATTTGTTCTTGATCCCACAGAATCTTGACATAATAAAGATTAGATCTAGAGGTAACAAAGATTTTCTGCCATCTAAGTATTATTGCCAGTTGCAGCTTCCTTAGTATTTTGCTGAGATTTATTTGTGTCTATCAGCTTCCTTCAGGATACTGCTTCATGTCACAGAAACTGTACTGCAAATTTTAAAAACTAGTTATCAATCCAAAATTATCTTTATTAATTTTTTTGCTATTAATTCTTCCTAGTATGCTAAAAAAATCCTTTTAAGCACATATAATATAGGATATTATTACCAAAGGTTCTGCAGAATGCATATTAGAATTTTGTTTGCATACAGAGGGCCTGTTACTATAACTCTTGTTCTCCTGGGTGGCTTTGTTATGATAAGACTGTAAAAATAAGAGTTTTTATTGTGAAAAATCAAAGATATGTGAACAAGATTTTGACTCATATGCAACTGAAAGTATACAAGGGCCAATTCATGTGCAGAAACAATGGCCCAGCAATTGAACATGTGTCAAGAATAGACAAGTCATTTGACTTTAAAAAAACTATATAAGTACATGGGCCCCATCTTTTTGATCAGAATATGAATCACACAAACTACATACTCCTGAAAAAGCCCTCTCTCACTACATTTAGTGGAAGACATCCAATTTAGATTTCTCAAGGAGGCTGTGCTCCCATCTGTGGTGACATTAGCAGCAAAAAAAATCTCTTCATATGCTTGCTACCCATTTTATAAAGTGAAACAGCAGTCACTCCACGAGGGGAAAAGGCAGTGTGACAGCCACAAGCAGGTATGGAGCAGCAGGTTACAACTGTGGGATGAAGGGCTGTGCCCTGTGGGGAAATGAAGTAACAGGGCCTGCTCAGGGACACTTGGAGCCCAATCACCAGGAGCACACCTGCCACGTCTGTGTCACAGAGTGGCAGCAAGGAGTTCCTGCAAGTGCCTTCCCAGAGCTGCTTCCCACAGAGAAATCTACAGTGACAAGGAAAGCAGTTCTAGCCCTGGATACTCAGTACCCCTGGGACTTGTTTTCACAAGCCATCCCAAACATACAGTGCTTGGACTGCAAAATTTTTTAATTTTGGTAATTTAACTACACATTCAGTGTAAGTTGGAAGCACATAGCTACACAAGACTGTAACAGAGCCATTGCCACTGAAGACAACCAATGCCATAAGGGAAACAGCTGGTACAGGAGCATCCATGAGAACATTGTTGCATAAGCACACTTAATCCCATTATAACAAACAAGACTTTCATCACAAGATGAGAACTTCAAAAACTCCCACTGTCATGGGAGGAAGACCAAGAGACACAAGAGGATATCAGCAATGCATTACTGATTAAAGATCAAGTCATAAAACAGTTTATATAGGTCATACCATTATGTAATGCTTAACGACCAAGCCAGGAGGAAGTTCCTTGCCCCAGCAAACTCTAATGATTGTTTTTAGTGTGTGCATCATAAGAAGCAACAGTAGAGCCTGGTGCTTAGAGCAGTTTTTGAAGGAAGAGGTATTTGACATCAGGAAAGTGTGAAACCGTGACTTGTTTGACCACGGAGCTGTAAACCACGTGCCAGAGGAGGAGCAGTAGGGCTAGAGAGACACCAGACACAAAAACAGACACAAAACACTGGGAGAGATAAAAGTGAGTAAAAGAAGGTTTGATAATTTCAGAGGGTGAGGAAGTCACAGAAGCTTAGATCTGAACACATTTTGCTTGCAGGATGAGTTTCATTGTACAGATGGTGAATATTACATCTCAACGTAAAGGCCATTACACTGTATGTGCTGGCTTCTGTTCAGCAAATACATTCTGTTTCTTTCCTATCCCCATGAATTTACCATTTTTATTTAATATGAATTTTAAGACATTGGAGCTTACATAGTCCCAGCCACAGATCCAAAAGTTACGGCTGAAATGTAGCTCCAAGCTGTCCTCTGGCCCTCCTCCACCCAGGGAGAGCTCTGGCTAAGTACAGAGCTGTAAAATTTCTTTTAGGTGACCAGAAGGCTTGTATATTTGTGTGCCTCCTGAGTGATAATCTTCTCCAGACACTCATACATGTATTTAGGGATCACAGTAGACATAAAACTGAAGAGCTGAAATCTGGAAGTCTGCTGTGCAACTGACCAAATGTTTCCTTCTCGATTTGGTATTTTCTTTCCCTTTCCGTGTTACATAAAACAACCTTATAGGTTTGATTCCATTTAGTTGTCAGCTATAGTGGATATTTTTAGTACAAAAATTTCAACACTATCCTGAAACAGTGTTAAGCTAAGGACAGACAGTGACATGGACAAATGTAACTTGACCCTACTTTTCTAAACAACAGAGATACAGAAACTGAAGTTAATCTCTCATGCTGTAGCTGTTTTCAAACTAAAACTGCCAAGAGGAAAGGAACACAGTAAACATCTTTGAGTATACAAACGCTACAGAGAAGATGGCAGATGACAAGTTTCTTGAAAAATTTTAAGAAATGCAGATGTGGAAAATTATCATCTCCTAAATTATCTCCTTATCCGTGACTACTTCTGTGTTTGTCTCAAGAAGCATTCACCTTCCTCTCATATCCACATGCAATTTGCTAACTTTTGGTAAAAGAAAATAAATTATTTCATGCCAAGCCTATAACAAAAAGGCACAGAAAAGAATCACAATAAATACACCAATGCTATCTAGACCTCTGGTAAGCTTTACAAAGATGCTGGAACCCAGATAGGTACATCCTGTGTAACAGTGATGCCTGCACAAACACTTGAATTTTTGATAAAATTTAAGCAACATGAAAAAAAAACAAACCTTAGTTCTCCACTGCCCTTCACAGTCACCTGAGCCAAAGCAGCACCCTGAGAACAAGCTGCAGGAGATAAAGAGATCCTTTCTTTTTAAGATCTCCCCACAATTAGATGAATGGCAACAGTTTTTGTTTGTAGCCTGAGAATGGATGAAGACTGACAGAGGAAATCTTAATCTCTAAGGAGATGTACTCTTTTATTTGCTTTAATGGAAGAAAATTTAGTCCTGTTAAAAGAAACCTTTCAATGCAAAGCAGACTTACTTCCTTTGGTAATATTATTCAGTATTTAAATAACCAGTTTAACAAGAACACAAAGACCTAATTTCAGAACTGGATATCAGGTGGACATGCAATTAACAGTCTCCAAAGAGAATTACAGTCTGAGCCTATTTAAATGACTGTTGTGAATAAGATGTTTGACTGCCCTGTTTCTTTCCTATCTGGACTTATTAATAGCCCTGTCTCAGTGATTATATCTAGGTAAAGGGACTATCAAAGTGTTCCTTTCCATTTTCAAAAGGTACTTTCTAGTGTTGTCAATCTGAATCTTCATATATATGTAAAACTTTGCTTATCTATCTTTAGTATTTTTATACCAACTGCTGTTTCAGATTGCCTGTTTTGTTCTCCCACTCAATATAAATATTTATTCATTATCCAAGATTTGATTCTACCCATAGAGGCCAGTGATTTTTAGTTTTTATCACCTTTAGTTTTGCTTCTGAATTGTCAATGGTACACATATATTTATCACCACATGCTAAAAAACTGATTGTTATACTCCATATATAATAAGAATTGCATCTAGTTGAGCAGGTATTTTTGGTGACTTGTTTCAAAATTATATTAGATATAATTTTGATTAGAAATAGTAACTTGTCACATACTGAAGCAAGAACTGAAAACTGAAATATGTTTGTCTGAAATTGAAAAGGTGGCTGGCTACATAACCAACTTTGAAATTAAATCCTGTCTAGATAGCCTTCAGAGTAATTCACCTAAACTTGAAGGCCTGTATGAGATGAGGAATGCCAGGCTTCCCAGGCAGAATATTCAGCACTTTTAGCCTATCATGTTTTGGCTTTTACAAGATTTTTTTGCTAATAACAGGCCAAAGTGAGGGCTCTGTGTTTGATTTACTGTTAGCCAGTTTAAATATATAATACTGTACAGACAGACTTGAACAGTAAAGATGCCTAGTCTTCAAAATTTTTTAAAGACAACAAATTACGGCCATGCACTCACCAAGACAGAACTTGATTTGTTTGGATTTTATGCCCTGTCTTTGACTTTCCAGCTACTGATAAATAATTGCACAGTGGGAAGCTCCTGCAAATCGGAATTCTTAAGGAAAAATCTCATTGCTTCAGTTCTCAAAAGCTAACTTTAGCATATTAAGTTTTGCCTCCTAGAAAACTTTAGTGAAGCCTCCTTATAACTCTATGAATCTAAGAGTTTCTCCTCTTATATCTATAAATATTATTCAGAGATCTCAGAGTGACTGTGAGCAGATTCTGATGACTGACAAAGCTAGCAAGAAATGCCTGGAGTGCTTTTCCTGATCTTGTCTTTCTAACAGAGCACAAGTCAGCAATAATATATTAAAGAATGGAATTGCAAAATTCATGAGGGGAAAACTATAGCCAGAGGTTTTCCCCTGTGCCATTGTCTGCAAGCACATGAGAAGATTCATACTGTCCATAGATAATAGGTATTTCTGAAACAAAGTCAAGCACCAGCTAAAGACAGATATTTTAATCCCACAACCTACATGGCTTTCTAAGAAAGATGCAATTTAAATCAGAGGTAAAGGTATTAGGCCGAATTAACTGATAAGGTACCCTAATCTTCTTCTGTAAAAGAGATTAGAGTGACTGATTATTTTAATAGTCTCTTCTGAGCTTAAAAACCATGAAGGCTTTGCTCTGCTTTTTTTTTTTTTTTTTTTTTTTTTTTTTTAAGTTGATCATCAAGAGTGCAGTGCCTCTTGACATTTTTGGACAAGTGCCAAGATAATACAGATATTGCACAGATTATTAAAATTTAGAACATTCCCTAAAACTTTTGAGAAAAAGAAAATATTGAAAAACTAGCCACACAGAAAGTTTAGTTAAGAGAATGAATATATTAACAAGATTTTTCATGCACAGCATTTGTCTGTTCTCACTGCACTTGCTGTTTTGCTAACTCTTAGTGTGTCCATCAGGCTGGCAATGCTCATGTAAACTTGTTTTGCAGCAGTTCAGTTTTTTAGCTGGTCTTGCAGCCTCGGGGGCTGGGAATGCTTCTCTATTTATTCTCCTCTACAAAACCACAGAGCCCCTTCCAGCACATAGAAACTATTAGAGTGATGAATTATCCATTCCCTCTGCTCCCAGATGTAACCATCTCAGTTACTCGTACAACTAAATATTTGTTGTCATCTCACATTTGTAAGTCTTCTACCGTGGCCAAAGTAGGAAAGCAGCAACACATAAATCAAAAGTTTTAATTTTCCATTCCATATGCCACAGTCTGCTAGAAGAACCAAAACAAACTGAAGTAGCTGTAAAGAAACACAGACCTTACAGCAGTGTGTACAAGACAGCAAATGCAGTCTTTTACCAGACCAGTTAATGTTATGTAGGCCTTCTATAACAATTATTTGCTTAGAAATTTTAGTGTCTCATTTTTATTGTGCTGAATGGAAGAGCAGTTCAGCTGCTGTTCTGAATCTCTCTCCAAATAAGTATTTTTCTTCCCATAGCCCATACAGGGAACCGAGCACAGCTACATTCCTAAACTGAGTGCCCAATTCCTAATAGGCAACGTGACTGCCCTGTGCTCAGCACAGCACACACTGCCATCCACAGCCAAGGCAGCCTTTTGCCATTTGAAGCAGACAGCAAAGCACACTCTCCCAGCAGGCTTCTCTCATGCACTGGCAGAGTTTAATTCAGCAGAAACCTGTGTGCACCACATGCACCTGCCAGAAAGTGCTCTATGGCTTTTGCCCTACATGGCCAGCTGGGAGCCCAGGGAAACTTCATCTCTCAGGATAATACAAGGTCCAGGGGCAGCAGTAGGCTTAGAGGCCTTCAAAGCAAGATGCCTGCACTTACCTATTTTTCCTAACACACAGTTCCAGGAGAATGGAGAATGTCTGGGATAATGTCACTGTGCTGTAAAATCACTCTTCCCCCAGCTCTCAGCTCTGCCAGCAGCACATGACATATGAAGGGAAGCTTCAGGCTGAGGAAAAAGAACCCAGACCAGACAGCAGCATGAAGAAGGTGAAAATACAGGAAAGGGGATAATAGGATTTAGGACTTAGGATTTAGGATTTTTATAATGTTTTACAAGGGATCTGTTTTGCTGAGCTGCACTTTCAGCAGTAGACCTGTGAGCAGTTGTAGAGCTCCACTCTAGGCTCTATCTATATTCCAGTTTCAGCCCCAGAGTCTTCCATTTGTTCATTTCTGTGGTGAGGAAATCCCTAAAAGGGAAATAATCCATGCTTCAGCAGCCCCTGGATGAGAGAAGGATGGTGGGGTGTAGGGCATGGGGATGAGTCTGGATACAGCCCCTCTGCCACCTCTCTCTTCCCCTGAGCCTGCCTTCAGCCTGTCCTCTTAAGTGTCTCTGTGTATGACAAAGAGGGAATCACATGATTCCCTCTTTGCATGACCCATGGAGTAAGGACACAAACCCATTGAGAATCATCCTTCCAGCCCTCAAAAGTATCTGGAAGAGCAGCAGATGCTGCCTGGGGAAGGGATTCCCCTAGCAGTAGCCCACACATTCTTCACTGCCCAGGAGAATTTAAGCCCAAGATGGCCCTCCCTGTCTGTTTGACCTCTGTCTCCCCCTCTAAGAATGTCCGTCCTTCCTTCCTTCCTTCCTTCCTTCCTTCCCACATAGTAAGTAAGCTCGATGGACTCTTTTTGCCATATGGCAAAAGGACGATTTTTTTTTTTTTTAATTAACAAAATTAAAATGTCAGTGACCTGGACTTTCATGAGAGATTTAGTTCTTTTGTCCTTTCATTTGGGTGCCATTTGTGCCTTTCTCCCTTTGCTGCTGTTGGGAAGAGGGTCAGGGAAGCAGTGTGAAATGACTGGGTTTCTACTGTGCTCCAAAGTACAGTCTAGGGTGCCTTCCTATTGTTTCTAGAAAGTTATTCTGCATCTTAAACTCTTGTGGTTTGTCTCCATGCCTGGGAGTTTTGGATTGCCCATTGGTAAGTGAGCAGAGAGATATTTTGGGGTAGCAGTCCTTTAGTCTGGCCAAAAATAAGTACAATTAAGATAAAATAAGGGGAAAAAAGGACAAGTTTTTGCCAAAAATTAACTGTTGACAGAGCCACCACAATGTACCATACTGGTTACAAGTTTCAGATTTTGACCATTTTATGTCACTTAGCTATTTTATGTCTCTATAACACAACAGAGATTTTACTATGTGACTCTTGCAGAGTAATTGCAGACAAAAAGACTGATAACTTTCAGTAAATTAGTTTTGTTAGAAAATCCTTAGTATGTCAGGACTTGGTGGCTTGTTGATCAGGTAGTTACCGAGTGTAAAAAAAATAAAGGTCTGTCTTTAATTTCCTGTTTGATCCACAGGCTCCTGCCAGCCTTGTTCTGCAAGACGGGGAGGAGGAGGCAGACTCCTCCTTGACACAGCCTGGAAGACAAATCCTGACTGCAGCCATAGTTGCACCAGGAAAGCAGCACTGGTCTTGGCAAAGCTTCTTTGTGCCATACAGAGCAAATTTCTTATGCTGTTGTGCAAAGCAGAGCCCTCCGCAGCTGGTGTTTGCTAACTGACAAAAACACGATGCAGCTATTTAAGACAAGGGTTACGGAGTCCTGTGCTGAATGTGGGAAGGATGTAGCTGTCCCCATTGAAATATGGCTGCTGCCAACATTTTGGCTTTGCTCCTGCACTCTTCCATGACCATATTTGGGCAGGACTTCATTTTAGATCTTATCAAGTCTTTCTTGCCACAAGAAAAGATTTTGCAAAACTGTCAAGACTTTTGTTTCTGCATTTACTCCTTCAAATACTTCAGAGCTTCTGGAGGCTTTTGTTTTCAGTGCTTAGAATAAGTGCAATGCAACAAAGTTTTGACAGTCCAAAATTCTATTTGCACAGTACTTCTTGCTGTTATAATTTATAGCCCTGCATGGGGCATTTCTCCTATGCTTTTTAATTCATAGTAATGCCATAACTTGAAACATGGTCCTTGGATGTCAGTGGTTCAACATGAGTAAACAAACTTAAGCAATAAGAATCTAAGTCAATTACCCTTTTAGTCAAAGAAAAGTGTGTGTCTGAACTGTGGACTTTTCAGCCAGATCTCATTACCACTTTTCAAGTAAGCATTTCTGAATAGTTTGAACACCACCAGCAAAACCAGGAACATGAACGCTGGCAGGGTAAGCTAGGTGTCCTGTCAGTAGCATTACACCTTCCAGCTCAAAACATGATGGCTTCTTTTGCCCTTTCTCCCACATTTCTAACCTTAATTGCTGTGGAGTCGGGGCTGCCATTTAGCAAACTCCTTGAGCCATGCTTTAAATTTATTTAAGCTCACTCCTACAAAATAAAAGTTGTCCTCACACTCTGCCCACCTTGTCTCTGCATCTCTCTTGGCCATTCACAGTGAGCAGCTGGATAGTGAAACAAGACAGTGTTATTTAGGTGCTTTGGCTTCCCAGGCAGTGTGAGGAGAGGGTCAGAGTTGCAGCCACTGAGGTGGCTGAGGCCCCTTCCTGCAGCTACCAGCACTGGAGCCAGCAGGGATGAGTGGGGAGACTGGGGACAGGGCCAGGCAATGACAGCACCAGCTCCCAGGCACGAACACCACCAGTGGGTCACTGGCAGGCTTCCACTTCAAACAGCCCACTGTGCATTAGTGCAGTCTAAATAGGCATTTGGCAAGCCTCACATCACCTCATGCGAGAGCATCTCACTCCTTAATGTCATCATTAATTCTGCACTGACCGCATCCCTTTTCAAGGAGGAAACAATAAAGAAAGGCAAAATTCTTGATGCAACAGTGCAGAGAAGCCTCAAGGGTTGTGGTTCCAGAGGACAGACCTTGCTGACAGGTCCACTGCTTTCTACAGGATTACTACAATACAGTGAAAAACAGAAAAAGGGGAGTAGAAGTAGTCAAAAAAGAATATAAATCTGAACACAATCTGATCCAACTCAGTACCATATTAGGTATTAGAAGTAAATCTTGAAACTCCCAATCTTGAATCTCTCAACAGTTTGTCTTCACTACTCAAGAATAAAACTTCAGGTCAATCCTTCACAGAATTCCATTATAAGTCATGGTGTTGCAGGAGACATGTATATGCCCAGTTCTAAGAAAGAGAAAATAAAAGTGATTTTAAACTGTGTGCAAAGAATCTACTAAACTACTATAGTAATGACATGCATGGGAATTAAAATATCCAGTCGCAAAACCAGAAGGTTTGGAAACAAAGCAGCTGAAATTGCATTTCTCTGAGGTAACTACTAAAAGGATATAAAGGGGTACAGATAACATCATGCAAAGGATATCTGTGAAAGCATGTTAAAAAGGTGCTTCTCTTCACACTTTGTCTATGGATATCTCAAAACCTTTATTTCTAGTCAGCTAGAAGGAGGTTCAGACTGTTTATCTGACTTCCACATGCGTGGTACATGCATTTATTTTATTGCTTACACTCTGATGTGCTGATGCCCAGCAGCTTCTCAAACGTGTACCTGATAACACAGTGCTTCCTGTAAATTTGTAATATTTATTACAACATCAAGAATGATGAAAGAAAAAAATATATAGTTGCTGTCAGCTCAAAGCAAATCTATCTGGTTGATGGATGATAAGAATTCCTCAGTAAGAACCTCAATAAAAAGTTTGTAGTTTTTTCCATGTGAACAGCATCTCTTGGTAATTATCCATTCCTATAGGGCACTTGGATCCTTTACATAATCATAAGTTGTGAGACTAAGTTCCCACTCCAGTAGAAAAATTAGTCACTTCACTCAAATTTCTGTGGCAGAAGAGGCTGGTACTCCCCATTTCACGTGCAACAAAGAATATAATTGCCCACAAAGCATGTGAAGAACTGTGCTTAGCTTTACTCAAAAGGCATATTGCATAAAAGCTGTAAACTCTCAAGCTGAATATAGAATTCTCACTCTTTCTAAAGACTATTCATGCTGATCCACACAAGCATTGATGATTAACTACACTGTGCGCCTCCAGCTCTCCTTTATGGAGCATAAGGCTGTGCTTGTAGGATGGTACACACCTGCTAAATACATTTTTATGGAATGAAATCCAACCTCTGTGTTCACTGTCCTTACCTCATGTGCTTAAATGTCCAGTTGTCTCTCTGAAATAATGAAATATTTTATGCTTATACATATTTTTTTCCAGCAAAAAGTTATTTCTTAAAACTGTTGTGCCTTTGAAAACATAACAAGCTCAGCAATATTTTTTGTCTAATAATCTAACATCCACTGCTCACACATTCTAGAATTCAAAAAGGTATGTAGCAGATTTCAGATTTTGGGATCAGTAATAATTTCACTGACTAATAAAGCAGAACCTTGAGTACAGTATATTTGGTTTCTACAGAGTAACTGGGTAACTCTATTCAGCAACATTTCATTTTACTGGGAAGAGGCAGCATGGTTGCTCTCTAACAACAGAATATACTTTAAAGTCAGGTCAATTGCATTCTAAGATGGATCAGGTTTATATTATAAATTGGAGTTCAGCCAATCCTTGAGTTTTGACAGAAGAATCAAAAGATTACAGGGACTACATTATCCACAGTTTTTCATTAAGGAGCCAAATCCATGGGTTTGGGGCTCAAATTGGAACACAAATTACAGGCTGCTAAGTCATATCTCACATGCTCTGTTGCAAGGTTATCCAGCAGTCAATTCCACAATCCTATAAGCAGTGGTAGCTTCCACACTGAGCTGCACTAGTTGCTTCTACAGGCAATACTTTCATGCACTGTTGCAGCTACTCTGTGGTAACAGCTGGTCAAGAATCCCAAGAACTGAGAATAAAATTCACACAAATTATTAGAAGAAAGCAATCTGCTTTGTGTGCTGACAATTTTCCACAGTAGCTTCATAGTAAATCAAGAGGTGACATATGGGAACTGGATTTCACTGATCCCTAGCCATCAGATAGGATGAGTCTACATCATTCTCCAAGTGCACACTTGGCTCTCCTCCCTGCATACGTTTGGGCATAGGGCCACGCTGAAGCTGAGTGCACCAGAAACTTGGTGCATCCCGCAGTCCACACTCAGCCCATCACCCCTTGCTGCAGTGTTGCAGGGCAAATGCTGACCAATTTGCACTCAACAGGCTGAAACAAAGTCTTGTCGTTCATGGATTCTTTTGTTTGTTTATGCTGTTTTAATTGGCTGAAAACAGAAGTGCTGAGGCGTAAAACCAGGCTGACTCCTGTTCTTACCTCTACCATCAGAGTGGTACCAAAGAATGTTAATCAATATAGGTATTGGTGTTTTATATAGGTAAATACTGGCTTGTCATTACCAGTAGCCATCTAGGAATGATCTATTTGAAATATTCCCTTGCAAAGACAACTGTTACAGTTCCATGTATATTACATAAGTGCAGGTGAAGAGTGTACCAGTTAATGGACTCACTGGACTCAAGTACCACAGACTAGTCCAGAGATTAGCATTTAAATTTACAGTTGTTTGCTGCTGTGTTCTCTGTGTTTTAGTTGGTTTGTTTGAATTTTTTAATCCAAGACTCACAACCATTTAAATATGTACAAGTAGAGGCCCTAATGACTGCAGTCTTCAAAACTTAATTAAAAACGCATCAGAACTCTCCACCATATTGTGCAGAACTGAACCCAGAAAGTGGCTCTTGTGGCTATGAAAGATGGAAATGTATCTCCCAGTCACAAATCCACTGACAGATTATGTTTCTTAATCCGAAACATTTCCCTGCTTACATGGCTGTTTCCAGGGACTGACAAAGCAGAGTATGACTAGAGGACCAGTCAGCTGTACTGGGTAGAACTAGCAGATGACCAAAACTTTAAGTATACTTAAATAAAATGCTTAAAAGTTCAATACCAGATTTGGACAAATCTCACATTTGATAACGTGGGATTTTCAGCCCTTGAACAGTAATCTGTGCCAATATCTGCTATCCTTCAGTCACAGCTGTCACAGCATCAAGCCTGGGAGAGTTCAAGTGTCTGCAATAATATTCTCAGGCATATGGTGTGATTCTTGGGGTGTCCTGCACAGGGTCAGGAGCTGGACTCAAAGATCCTGAAGAATGCTTCCAACTCAGTATATTCTATGATTCCATGATTATATAATGGCTTTTTCCCAATACCCATCAACAGGTGTACTCCTCACAGCAAGGGAAAATATCTTCCAGCACAGATACTAAAAAGGTTGTAATGTTTGTGACATAAATATTTGAAGTGCTTCAGTTTTTGCTTCAGAGGAAATAGCCATGCAGCCACACCCACAAAATATCTTGTGGAAAACTTATTTTAGAGATAAAACCAAAACCACTCATGTTTCTCTTAAGCTAATTTAGGGCTTTTCAGTCAAATTAATGCAAAGAAATATATTTAGCTTTAGCAGCAGTCTCATGTTTAATTTCATCAACCCTGTAACTGTTATCAGCTTTGTAGTAAATAAAGTGACTCTTACCTGGGAAAGACACAGGAGCACAGTTCAGGCATTTATTTTGCTAAGCAATCAGCAAATACACTGTTACAAGTTTTGGAATATCAGGACTCCTTTTGTAAAAAAGAAATCCCTGTAACTCAACTACACAGAGATAAACATTTACATCGTTCACACAATTTTCAGTTGGCTTAGGAAGATTCCCAGCAACAATAAAGCTGAGCACAATGCATGGATTCTTTGCAAATGGTGGCATTTCCTACAGAAGATACGAAAACTGTTAAGTATGACATCCAAGATACTTGGCAAATCCACATGACTGAAAGAGAATTGTAATGGTCTAGAAGCCAAGTAAAAACTGCAGTGGCAAGACTGGAAGCAGCAGCAGCAGAAATATGATGAATTTGAAAAAAAAAAAAAAAAAGTTCCACCGAAGTATAGAGCCAATAAAAGTAAGGAAATGAAAAAGCTCTCTCAGTTTACTTATAATCAAGGCATATTTTACTGACAGATCAAGAGACCACATGATAAGATGTCTTATATAACATTAATAATTTCACCTCATTACAGGCTTCATTTGAGCTACAAAAGCAAGAGATTTTGTATACTTCATGCTGACAGTTCTGGAGAGAAACTGCAATAAAATTCTCAGATTTATTCAGATTGATTAGCAATAACCACACTGCAGCAGCTGCCTTGCCATTGCTCAGCACTTTGTGTGCACAAACAGCACGAAATATGTGACAGTAGTGTGATTTTCCTGATATTTGTAGAGTTACACAACACAAAACATATATTTAAGGAGGTAGTTTAACTAAAAGGCAGCTCTTGTTTAAAAAATGGCCAAGTGAAACTCCAAGAGTATATAGAAAGTTAGCACAATGTATGTTCACCACTATCAAAGACTCTGAAGTTCAAACTCTCATTAAACAGTATTTGTTTAAAAATCACAAGAGCCTTAAAACACGAAAATATTTTTGGAGCATTTGCCAATCTTCATGTGCTGAAGCAAGGCACTCTAACACCTTCCATCACTCAAGAGTACATAATAGAATCAATGCCCACGTTGCTGGTTCTATTAGGCAATCTTCCTCAAGTATCCCTGAGATGGATAGCTACCATTAATCACACTGGACTGGAAAGCTCATCTATTCCTGGCTTCATAGGGTAGCACTTTCTCTCAGGTAAGTGCTTCAGAATGAGAGTAAAAATTACTTTCATAATCCCAGCCATCTATTTCAATGAAGCTAAGCACTGAAGGAGGTTTAACAGCACATCCTGTTAGTCCTCAAGTATTTTTGACAGGACTCCAACACCGAATATTCTTTCCAGATTACTGCACTAGGACTGATCAAACTGGTGTTTTGGAGAGGTAGTAATTTCTCCTGACACTTTAATAGCACCTGGGTCAGTACTAGAAAACCTGCTAAGAGGCGTTCTAGCTCACTTCAGCTCTCAAGAAATGAATATGACACCCGAAAGATAATGCTGATCAAGAACTGAGAATAAAACAGTATCACAAAAAGTCCTCTCGCTGATACTCATTCCCTCCTCCAGCATACTTGTAGCTTTGAGAAAATGCAGGCTATTTGGTTCTGTCCACTAAGTAATAAAAAATGTATTTTGTATTTTAGTACCTGGGAACTTTTTGAGGAAAAACAAGTATTTTATGGTTCAAGAACTTGAATCATTTATCTTCAGTGTGATTCTTTAAACTCTTTTGGACAAACAATCCTGTAAATGCACATAAAAAACTTCAACAAAACCCATGTCAAACCCTTCTTGTGGAATAACCAGGAATCTGGATGCAGTAGCAGCTTCCATTTGTAGGAGACAGTGACACAGAAAGAGGCAAAGCATGCAATATAATGCCTAATGAAATACTGCTGATCCAACATTTGAAAGTCTAAAATCTTCATGTACCCCTAGCTGACTGCTGACTCCTGTCTTACAGCATTTTCAGGTAATGCTTATCTTTAGAGACAAGATGCTATTTGGTAAGTACCCTGTACACTCCTACCTCATGTTAAGTTTTGAATGTCTTTCTTCAGTAGTCCTTACCATATGTGTATATCTGGTATTATAACAACTAAATCAAAGCTTCTATTCCTTTAGTTGCCCTGAAAGGTGAGGAACAATATTTGGAAGAAAGTAAAAGCAATAAACCCAAGTGCTTACATTTATTTCCTAAATAAAGCACAAACAAGGTCATGCTTTCGTAAGTAGCAAATCGTGGAACACATGAGTCAAGTTGTTAGGTTAAGTGGTGATAGTAAAATCTGATCTTATGGGCCTTAGAGAAACAATGTGTTTATGTGCTCTGCATTAGTATTCTGAAGAAAGCCATCTATTTGGTTACAGAAAAATTAAACAAGGCCAAAACTGTACCAGCAGATAATTACTGTGAAGCCAGCCATTACAAATGACCGATTATGCAAAGAGGGCCTCGTGCAGTGCTTAGCAGGAGATCTCACGAGTGGCAGCTTCCTGAAATAAAAGCAGCTGGGCACAGATGAGCTTGAGACAGCAGTTGAAAACAGGCCCTGACCCGGCAGGCAGAAGCACACGTTGTACCAATGCACCTGCAAAGAGCAGTCTGCTAAATAAGTCCTTTGGCCACACAAGGCAGCGTTTCATCTCCCTGACTTCCTGTCCCACCGCCACCCTAATCCACAGAGAGAGACAAACGCAGTTGTTCTCACAAGGTCACAGCAGGAACAGAAGTACGGAAGGAGTCCACCAACCACAGAGAACTGACACCTTTTCCAGACCTCACATTTGCACTCCACTTCTGAACCTCAACCTAGATTTCCAACTGATGGCCAGATCAAAAGGAATAAAGTTGTCCACTTCCTGGGAAAAAGCCACTTGGCAAGAATCTTGATGAAATTCAACAAAATCTGAAAATAATATGTATTTTTAGCTAAAACCACAAACATATGGCTAAAACCACAAACATATGGCATTCACAGGCCATTAGAGAACTCTCAGTCACATCCCCACACTTGTATTGTGAAGCCAGAGGAGAAACAAGTACAGATCAAGTATATAAAGAAGTAAAGTAAGAACAAAACATCCCCTAAAAGTTGCACTCTAATAGGAAAAAAATTAATCTTCTCAACACCTTGAGTAAGGAAAAAAAAAAAATCCATTACACCTACACACCCAGAGCTATTTTATCTGCTAGACTGAAGGAATTCGTGGGTCAAAATTGCACTGACACCTACCTATGTGCAGATACAGAGCTGATGCAGAGTTTTTACTTTTGAAAACTGTGGAAAAAACTGGCTATTTTGTTTTCATTTCTCCCAATATTTTTCCAGTTTCAGGGAATACCAGTGTCACTGAAAATCCTTTCAGAAACAATCATGTATGTAATGAATCCAACAACTTCAAAACAGGGGGGAGGGTGTTGTGACATGGGCTATCCTTTTTTTTCTACAGCTTCTTACCTAACCCTAGAACAAGTTCACGACCTAATTATTTCCTCCTCCTTCTCCCACTCTAAACATGCAAATACAACTCATCAATCCCAAGTGTGCATTAGATTTATGAAGTCTCCTTAAAAATTATTCTCAAATTGATGAATACATACAAATGTTTCCTTTCTTTTCATTTACTGCAATTTCTAATATTGCGAATATCTGGGTTGTAAGAGACTTATGTTTGCCACAACTCTTAATCTTTCAGCTCTTCCCTGAAGAACTGCCTGTTCTTCTGCAGTTAAGTTACCCTCTGTGAATCCCACACTACTCTACCTTCTTTTGTTATATGTAGTACATGCATAGAAATTTCTGCAGGTAGTGCAGCAAACTTTCCAGTCTTGTAAATCATTTTTATCAGCTATTTCTAGAAAGCAGTGACAAAGCCTTTTCAATCAAATGATAAGTGTTTTGTAACCTGAGTTTTTACTCAAGATAAATTTTGCTTCATAAAATATTTAAGTCATCAGCTGCCTAAAGAATTTTAAAAGCGTTTATTATAACAGCAAGGCACAGATAGATTCTTTACTTCTTGGTAGTTTATACCATTAAAATACTTCAGTTGAAAATTACATTAGTTTTATTTAGTTTTACTATCAGCTTATTATTAATTGTGGGCTTAAAACAGCACACTGACAAAGGATGCAATTAATAACATATTTTGGTTTTGCTATCTAGATGAAAACCACTATGTAACTAAAGAAGCAGTTAAAACACAGGGAATAATTTAACACGTTGTGTGGCTTTCTCGTTAGTATTTTAGCAATGACTGACATACACAGTATGAGCACCATTTATTAATATTATCCAATACTTGCCAGGTGAAAAATCTTCTCTTTCTGGAACAGTAACTTGTTCAGACATAGAAGAAACTTTTTTAAAGAAGACTCCTACAGTTTCATTTTGGCAGAACCTACAGAGAACCCTGATGTGCAACTATGGAGCAGGACTACTAGAGGGAAAAGGAGGAAGAGGAGGCCAATTTGACAGGGAGATGGGACAGGAAAGACCATGAGCTAAGAACTAATATGGGTTCAGTTTGAGTTTCCACACTCCTTCCACATACTTCACGCTCTTTCTGTAGGAAGGAACGGCAGAGACCACCCACCCTGGCCTGGGATCACTGCCCATTGCCTGATCAGAGCTGTAGGCACAGGATGCACTGGTGCCTTGGGGCAGTGAGGAAGAAAACAAGGCCTTTCATCCCGCAGTCGTCACGGCAGCTTCAGGCCAGCAAGGATAACTACTAGCTTGCTTTTGCCATCCTGGCTGAAGTTGAATCACAAGCCCAAACACCAAGTTTAGTAATCTCAAGGACTCCTTTGCACAGCTATTTATGTCAGGCGTGTGGCATGGTCAGAAACTCGCGACTTTCAGCCATGCTGGTATTATTAGAACAAACATGGGGGCAACCTCCACTGGGTTTTTCAGTGCTGCCTGCAGCTGGACAGTTTACAAATGCTGTGTGAAAGCAGAGTGGATGTGTTTGCCTTCTGTTCACAGTGCGTCTTCATTTGAAAACTGGCACCTACAGAAGCCTGACAATCAAATGAAAGAACTTTGTAGCAGGGCTGAATGGGCTGTGACAAGGCCATGATAAACTGAGGGCACAGGAATCCATTTCTCCAGTGACTGAGGACATGTGCTACTGTTTCTGTAAGGGAACCACCCTCCTGAACTAATTAATGGACTTCATTTTAAGACCCTGAATCCACTTTTTCAAGGCACACTCAGGTAAACCAGACATAGATTTAAAAAGGGAAATTAATGAAACCCAGTCATAATTACTAGTAAACAAATCCTTTTAGAAAAGGCAAGGCCCTCATAGGCCTCTCACTATTCCCCTCATTTTCTGGATATGACTTGTGTTTTAAGAAGCAGAAATTAACTGAAAGGGTGTATAACTTTCACACTGTTAAACAAGAAACCAGAAGCTTAAAAAATGCAGAAATACTTGCAAAAAATAATAATAAAAAAAAAGCAAGTTTTAGGGGTTTTTTTGAGAAATGAACTGACCTTCATAGCACTCTCATGACAAAATAAGCTGCACTAGATTCTTCCCAGGAGTAACAGCAGCACTGAAACAGACCTGGTAATGAAGGGGCAGGTTTAAGGGTAATATTCCCTCCTGACAGTCATAAAATATATGTGCCTCAAAACTTAATCTCCAGGCTGCTGGCCTGACTTACAATAAAAAAATCAGTATCCAAAGTCAATTACTCACAAGAACTAAACCAGAGTCATTTACAATGCATCCTAAATTTTCCATTATCTCTTACATCTAGAACCTTTGTTAGTAGTATTTAGAAAAGCACTGCAAATAATATAAATAATAAATTTGTCAGCCTTTCAAGTAAAATAGCCTTACCTGGTACAATTATGAGACTCTTTTGCTTCACAATTTACCTTAGTTCTGGAGACAAGAATGAAGATTTGTCTTACCCAAAATGTCAACTGACAATTTAAAATAACAAAGCTTTAAAAGAATTGTCCTTGATAAAAACATTTGCATAATAACAAGGAGTAATTATTCCAACAGACTGTCCCAATGACAAGTTTTGCAGGCAAACACGAAGATTTCCTCAGTGTGTCCTACCATGTGTGATACCACTGCTAAAGCAGCTGCACTCCATTTGAAACCCTCTGCTTGTACACCAGGTAACACCACCGCTGTTAGACAGCAGGGACCTCCTGCTGTCAGCTGTACTCACTGAACTGGCTGCTACTGATTTCAGGAAAATAAATCAACAAACAAACCAAGCTGAGCAACTCAAACTTTGACCCCATTCACACAATCAAATTTTCAGACTAATAAGGCATTCTGCTTCCAAATGTAAGAATATGGAAGAGTGCCAGAGGGGAGAGATTCCAAGCAATAAACTGATCAGCAGAAGTGCAATTACCAAAAACAAAGCAGAGAGGATTTTAATTTTCATATGCTGCATATTTCAGGAAATAAATAATCTTTTATATTAAGAACATTTTACTTTATTTTTGGCAGTCTAAACGAGTGTTCTACTGAGAAACCGTTCCCACTACAAAAATCAGCTGCTCAGCAAGGACATGTCACAAGTCTCTTGACATGGAGGCGGCAGGGGGAGGGGAGATCCATTTAGAAATTATTTTTGTAAGTCATTAAAGGATGAGCCATTATAAAAGATTCAGTTAAGAACACATTTACACAACTACTTTTAAAACCCCACAGCAGCTTCTATAATTTCAGGTTCATGGTACAAGCACATATTAACATTATCTGGTCAGATACCTGCACACATTTTATTGTTGCCATTTAAAGGATTCTAATAGGATAACACCATCTTTATTAATAAACTGTTGATACAAGACGATTCTTTCAGCATAAAGTCAGATGAAGACATTACAAAAATTATGTACTATTAACAGATTACAATAAACTATTAAAAGAACATCTTCCTTACAATATTGGTCTTCTGTTTACAATTAGAGACCAAAAAAATGAGGGGGGTCTGTCATAATATTTTACAAATTAGCATTTAAGTAATACTTGAGACACTTTTCAGAAATTATTGAAAACTATGAACAATTAGCACACTCAGTTAAATCTGAAGAATAGTCTACAATATTAACTGTTACATATGACAGTACTATTTGCTTTGAAAATCCCAGTTTTCTAGAAGGTTAAAATTTTGTAAAAGTCAGCTCCAAGCTTTCTGGCTGTCTACAGTAGCAAATATGCTGTTCTCATAATTTTCATGTACAAACGATTGTTTGTGTATGAATTAAGCTTGACAAGATAGGAATTAAGGTAAGAAGTGCCAGTACCCTTTATACAGAATAGACAGATTGTGACTTGCTGAAAGGTAGAGGAAGCACAAAGCAGACAACTCCATGGGCTCTGTCATTTCATTTCCCAATACAGATCTCGGATACTACTCAAGAAGATTGTATAGAATATAGTTCTACCATCGAGAACAATGTGTGCTCCCAAGCACAAGACTAAACACTGAGCAGATGATTTTTAAAAAGGAGATCTGTTGTACTTCAGTTGTTCTTGATCACTCAGTATAAAACATTTTGTGACTTTGCAGAAGAATCTCATCATATTTCTGTCCCTGGACTTGCCAAAACACACTAAAATAACAGAAGTCAAATTCTGTTCTATGCATATCCACTGCCATGGGAGAGAAATTCTTGCCCCTGATTTCAAAATTTTCCAGAGAACAGGAAAGCTTTGCAGTTTCCCCATCTCACCCTACACCTAGCTTCTCTGCTGGAGTCTTTGTGAAAACATAAAAATAAATAAAAGTATACTGCTGCGACTGAGAAACTAAATACATTCATGGTCCCAAGCCAAGGGCACCAGGCAGACTTGATTTGAAATATTAAGTTCCTTGATTAAAAATTTAAGACAATCAGACAAGCTATTGAGGTGGATGGAAGAAAGCTGTTTCCAGTGGGAAGAATTTTCTTGTTCTTTCTGGCAAACAGACCATCAAAAAAGGAAGTTCACCCACAAGTATCACAGTTGTTCAGTATCATATCCCAAAATGGGTTCCAGCCACTTCTCCACTTCTGCCACAGACAAATTTTTTCTCAGTGCGTAGTCTTCAACCTGCAAATTGACCACAAAATATGATGAAGATTTTGAAACTCCAGCTTTAAATGTTTACAAAATTTTTAAGACATCTGCTCGTAAGATGATTTTGAATGGTCTCAGTTACCTGATCTTTACATATCTTGCCAACAGCAAAATATTTGGAATTGGGACTGGAAAAATAGAGGCCAGAAACTGCAGAAGCAGGTATCATTGCTAGTGATTCTGTTAGACCAATTCCTGGAAAAGAGAAGGAGGATTTTATTATTCTTTGAATTAAGAATAAGCATAAATTCAGAGCCTTTTTTTATGTTGGGCGGCTTCAAGCAAACTCAAAAAAACCAAGCAGCTTTCAGATGAAAACTGAAACCAATCCCTTTTTCCACTTGTTAACCATTAAGAAAACCTCAGAACTTTAAACATACCACAGACTTTCATTACAATTACTGTAGAGTAACTCTATGGTTTCAAGGAAAAAAACTTGGACATTTTGGCAAATGAGGTTTTGAAGCACTGAAAGTTACTTTTGGAATTGTGGAAGTACCAGTGAAACATCTGACATTCAAAATATAAGATGAAAACAAGTGGAATTAATCCCTTTTTAAGAATTACTATCTCAAGGTTCCTGTGGACCAGGAAATACTCGGCTGAATTGATTTTTCTGTTTCTATCTGGAATGTCTTCTTATCACCATAAGGATGCCAGAAATTTTTCCTGTCCAGCAGAACCCTGTTTGCATGCAATCTGCTAATTAGGGACACAACTCCTCCACCAAAAGCACTGGCAATGTTTTACTAATTCTTCCTCGAATGAGACAAAATAAAAATGGGAATAAAAAGGGGAAGACAGCAATTCCCAGAAGCACCTCAGTTTAGTATTTTATGTAATTCTGCAACAGCCAATTTGTTCTTTGGTTGGAATTTTGATTTCACATTAAAAGCAGTTTAAGAGTCTTAGCAAAGCAGTTACCTGTTGTTTCCTCAATGTTTGCAAGTTTCCACATGGTGAGTTTTTCTGTATGGTCAGGCTGGCTGGGATATCCAGGGGCAGGGCGAATTCCCTCATATTTAATTTTGCGTAGGCCAGAGAGATCCAGCTGCTCGCTACTACTGTAAGCCCAGAATTCCCTTCGAACTCTTTCATGAAGCTCCTCAGCAAATGCCTTGGAAAAGAATGGAAAGTTTTTTGTTTGTTTTTTTTTTTTACTTTGTACAGACTGATGCAACAGCTGATTGGCTTACAATGACAGATGCTTTCTCGCATTCCCATTTTCATTTTTAAGAGAGCTCTTAACATAGGTGAGACATTTGAAAGAATTAAAGTTCACATGAAACACTTATTTTGCTAATTCAAGTTACTTCTCTTATTGGTAGACATGCTTTTTTAATTGTCCTGCTTCAAAGGGGTAAAGATGTGGACAAGCAACCTAAAGACAAAATTCATTAACCTATGGTAGTGACACTTCATTATAGCACTGAGGTCATTAGGTCTTGACTATCTGGGTGTCTCACCCAGATCTAGCTATGGAAGGTCACATCATTTTTGCCTCCATGCTGCGATCAGATACAAGCATTTGCTGCTGCTCCTTTTAGCAGAAGACTTTTCCTATAGCTCAAAGCTGTTGTGGGCAACAGCTTTTCTGAACTGAACTGCTCCTGCACCCTACATGATTTTAGCAGCACTAGTTGTCCTTCAGGAAGAATTCCCACTTCAGTAAATATCTTCAGATAATAGTAACAACAACAACAACAACAACAACAATAATAATAATAATAATAATAATAATAATAATAATAATAATAATAATAATAATAATAATTTCTGAAACCCTGCTATAGCTTGAAATCCCCAGCTAGAGCTAGCCCCACTTGCACTGTACTCAAGTGGCTCTCAGTTTGCTTAAAGTTGCAAGGAAACATGTGATAAAACCTCATACCTCTGCCAACCGATCACCAAGAGCCTTCACCATTATGATGTTGTATTCATCCTCCTGTTTCCTAAATTCACTGCATAAATCATCTACACCAAAGCAGGCCACTGCAAAAAGGCCTAAGTAGTCACAAATGCCAGAATCCAGTGGTGCTATGAAGTCAGAGAGGCAGTAATATGGATCTGTGCAGGCAGAGTCCTTTTCAGCCTGAAGTAACAAAATCAATGTGATAAATCAGAACATTTTAAAATACCTCATGAGTGCACTATTAAGCTAAAGACCAGTATTTTTAAGACTAAAGGGCCTAGGGCATTTCTGACAAACACTAACTAGTTTTTGAGCTATGGTAGTTTTCCTGTAGTTAAATTAGAAGAAAATCACTTCCCTTACTCAGAGAATGTTTGGACCACTGAAGAACAAAACACCAAAGAAGAGAGATGCAGCACTGAACACACATTTTGCTTCTATTTACAGCTACTAAGATTTAACAGCTTATACTGCAAAAAAATTATTACAAAGGAAGGAATACTCTTGTGCCAACAACTGGGTAAGAGGAGGAATATTTCATCTCTACCCCTAACAGATTTCAAATTTGTTAACAAAACTAATAGCGGATGTGCAAACTGAAGAATTCTTCAGCAACTCTCACTATAGAATGGTTATGACTTTATAAACACTCCTTATGCTACAAACTATGTGCTCAGGAATCCAGACAAAACAGTGCCCAGAATGCAGACTTTTTACTAATCACACAGAAACACAAAAAAAACGTATGTATCACTACTGGAAAGTTGAATCCTAAGCAAAGTTCAAGTGGGTTTATGCAAAGGGAAGGGGCCCAATGACAAAGGACCTTGAGGTGTTGGTCAATATCCAGCTGAACATGAACCAGCAGGGTGCCCAGGTGGCCAAGAAGGCAAATGGCAGCCTGGCCTGCATCAGAAATAGTATGGCCAGCAGGACCAGGGAAGTGATTTTTCCCCTGTACCTGCCACCGGTGAGGCTGCATTTGAATACTGTGTTCAGTTTGGGATCCCCAACTGAGGAAGATCGCTGAGGTGCTGGAGCAAGTCCAAAGAAGGGCAATGAAGCTGGTAATAGTTCTGGAGCAC